TCTTTCTTTCTTTCTTTCTTTCTTTCTTTCTTTCTTTCTTTCTTTCTGTCTCTCTGAGCTCCTGAACACAAAAGACAGAGAGGCCGCGACAGGACCCCAGTGTAAGCTGGTTGTCAAGGAGACAAGGAGACAGTGTTGGGTCTTTAAACTGCCTCAGAGGGGTGTGTGGAGTTAGGGGGAGTTGGCCTTATTTACATGGGAAGAGAACAGAGAGAGAAAGGCAGAAAGAGGGGTCTGAAATACTACTTTTGAGCCGTTACCCTGCAGCTTATAGGACTCTGCTGTTATTCAACTAAAATCACTCCACCGTCATCAAATATTTACCAAGCAGAGGAAATCTGGAGCTGTTCATTCTGAGAATGCCTTGCATACATGACAATGTAAATCAACCAGTCCTTTCCTCTCTCCTCTCACTTTTTTTTGTTGTTGCTATTATCTCCCCTCACACGCACACACATAGTCATGCACACCAACACAATTTGATTGTGAGCTCAGGGAGTGCTGGGGCCCTACCGCTGGCAATGGTGAGAGCTGACTGCAGAATACATTACCAGCTGCTTTGAGAGTCTTTCTTTCCAAGAGAACAAGGAGGAAAACAGCACATAACTTGACTGAAAACAGGAAAAGCGAAGACAAGAGTACACACCCATCCCAACACTCAGACACCCCCACCCATTTTTATCCACAAACACACACACACACATATTCTCCCTTTTATATTCCCCCCTCTTTCTTGTACCACGCACTGTTTCTTCCTGTCCAGAGGATTGTCAGCAGCGGTCACATAATGTCCTTTCTCTGTCTATGATCAGGGGGCTGGGGTTGTAACTGCAGAGCAGGATCAACTCCAAGCTTGAAGTTCAATATCAGCCCCCCAACCCCCTCCCCACCACCCCCCCACCCCCAACTCCACAATGAAAGCAGGAAGGGCAGGGAGAGGACGAATGAGCCACCCACTGCTGCATTCACCACAGAAAAGTCCATGTGATTTTCTTTTCTTTTCTTTTTTTGCGTGTGAAACTTTAAATGTGTAGTTTAAAGGGAGGTTTCACTTTTACCATCAACTCTCGGGACCCAAATAACCCACTGTTTTTTCTTTTTTTCATATGTGTCTTGAACGTTAATAAGTGCAATCAAAGCAAATGTAGCCACCATGACATGTGTACGTTATTAGTGGTAGTTTTACAGAGACTTTAGGGACGGACTGGGATCCCGTGTAATATTTACTCTGCAGATGTTTGAGGGCGAGCTTGCACAATCAATTTCCCTTCAATTCCCTATGCATTTCATCCTCCAAACCTGTAAATCCCCCAACTCCCTTTTTTCCCCCTGCCTGTTATACATGTGCATGCCTGTGAGAAACCATGGTGAGCTGGGTGTTTTCTTCTCTCTTATTACACACATCCGCGTGTGATGTCCACTTGAATTGCAGAGGAAGACAGAGGATGAGAAAAAGAACACAAAAAAGGAGAACTGGGAAAAACACGGTCTGGCCTTTACCCTGCATTTTGGCTTGAGTGTCCGCTTGGTGTTCTTCTCCCTCCATCTCCGAAACTAAGGAGTGTTTGGTGATTAGTATGCAGAAAGAAAGCTGTTTCGCATAATTAAGAGCTACAGAGAAAAAGCAACAAAGTTTGTTAGTTTTACATCTAAGAGTTTAATAGTGAACAAAGAGTTATTCTTGCTCAGATAAAAGTTAAAAGATCATAGTTCAACACATCTTTGTTTATGTTTTTCCACCTTTTTAGACACACATGTATTTTTAAAAAGGAATCCAAAGCAGAGACAGATACCATTAAAGTGGTTAATAATCACAAAAGTGGTAACAGTTAGTAACCTACACTTGGCACAGAAGAGTAGATTAATGTAGTACTACACTGTTAATTGTCAAACTTATCATATACAAAGGCACAGAGGGCAAGCAATGCTGATTTCAAAGGCTCAAGTTAAAACAGAAAACTTCATACACTCCAGTTTATCAGGACAATGGGGCTGATCATTGATGACACATAAGGTATTTATGTTTGATATTTATCAAATGAATCTGTAATAAGGCATAATGCTCTCCTCCGAAAAGATCATTTAATGTTATTTTTGCGTACAAAATAGAATAGAAAAATACATTATAAACTTGTTACAGATGTTATGACTGCATGTTTTTTCTTATATATGAAGGCATCACTTGGTTTGTTTGTTTGTGTAAAACCATATCCGCTGGGGAAGAAAAGATCAAATAAAATAAAAGGAGATACACATGCAAATATATATGAGCAACACAGTCAAACCAATAAACAAACAAAAAAAAACAACAGAAAATTTAACACTGTTCTTTCGAGGCATCCCAACCTCATTTAAACATTTCAGACACTGCTCTTCCAACTTCTTTTAACTTTTGTTTTGGCACTGAATGAGTAATGGGTGCAGGGTAAAAATCAGATTTGGGCTCCTACACATTGCCTATGGTTCTAGCTTGTCAGCATGAACCCAAATGGTATAATTTCAAGCTGGGTGCAAAGCCGTGATGTTGCCGTGAAAGATTTAGGTGTAACATTGTTCCATTGCTTTCAATAAATAAAGGCACTGTTGTTCAAGCTCATACAATACTGTAGTGTGAAAAAGGCAAAGGCATCATTGTGAAAGTCTTCTGGATTTTTACAAAAGAAAAACAACCTTCCATCTGCGTGTGTATCAATCTGCATTGACTCAGTATCTGGAGGTTTTAGCTATGAAGAAAACCAAGAGATACTTTGGCATTTCAATTTCCAGTTTGTTATTTTTCCTCCTCGAGTGCCAGTCACTTTGTGGTGGAAAAGCGTCTGTGCTGGCATTTTGTTCTCCTAAGTAAATGCTTTCTTAAAAGTTCAAATGCGTGAGGAAGTGATTAAAATCACTCCCCTGACACACTTTTTTAAAAGCACATTCGGCTTGAAATCTTACCAACAAAAAAAACAGACACATTTTATCTTAAAGGGAAAGTTGTTAATAGCTACAATCTTAACACCAATCATAAACGTTATGCTTCAGTTAATATGTGTCCGCTTTCCAAATAAAAAGCACTCTTTAAAAACTCATAATGTCTCTAATAGGTTTAGTGTTTATAGAGGGTTTCTGTGCTGATCAGTATCACCAGTATTGGTAAAGTTACTATGTTATTAATGGAGCTGTTATTATTGCATCACATACTAGCACAGAGAGACAAGGGTTTGGGAGCCCTTCATCAGTGTGAGGTCTGACCCCAGAAAAAGTCGTGCAGCTGATACAGATTGTAATTTTGAGTGTCGGATGTTGGGAGAAAATTGTCGGACTGGCTTTGGGCTTTTAGAAGGAAGGCACGTTTGGTAAAGTTAAAGTCATGACTCGGTGGAGGGCGAGGTCCTGGGGTTTATTCCCATGATCGCTGTCGTCCGGTTGGTTGGTTAGACAGAGGCAGCCGGGTTGTTCCCAATGTTCTGGTCTCTGGTTGGCTGAGCGGGGGGAGTGGCAGGGCCTTGGGCCAATGAGCGCGCCAGCAGGCAGAGATGGGTGGGTCATCAGTGGGCGGAAAGGTCAGAAGGTCAAGGGGGGTCATGGGTTAGTTGCCGTGGCAGCTAGAGTTAGACGGACAGAGACAGACAGAGGAGGAAAAGGAACAAAAAGGGCACATAAAAGGGGACATAAAAAGAAAAAAAGATAGAAGAGAGATTAGTGTCAGCTAGTGGCGTCGGGATGACAACAAGGCAGATCTAGTGCAGTCGCACAGCACGAGGGGGCCTTGCATAAGAGGTGCACAGCACCTTCATGAGCACCGCATCGCCATTCGCAAGGACTCACATCAACCACCAGGCGTTGACACAAGGAACGGCTGGCTACTGATGCCCCTGTTTGCTCATGAAGGTGTTTGCGGGGTGGTGGGAGAAGCCCCTCCTGCCATGAGACTGCTGCTATAGTGACACTACTCATGCTAGCTGGGCTACGTCTAGCACAGACAGACAGCGAAACCATGGACAGAGAGGGAGACAGCATGGTTTCATGTGGTTGAAAGAGTGACCTTTATGTCCAAAGAAAAGTTTTTCTAGGCCTCAGAGGGACATTCACTTACTAGACGTAGAGCTATTGTTTAGCAGCAGGCATAAAATCTGGTTGATTAACAGTAGTGATTAACTGATTATTGATTATGGTTTGACTGATTGCTATGGAGTATTAGAGGAGCACCTGAACGACTACAGTAAGCAAAGAGGCGTCATAAGAGACAGCGATGAGAGGTTAAGAGATGGTGATTTTAGAAGGACTTGAAAAACAATTTAACAATAGACAGACTAACTACAAGAATTTAGAGGCTTTGGTTTTCTTTAGAGATTTCTTTCAATACTCATCTTTATTGCCTTTTAGTGTTTTTTTGTCCATCGTGTACAACAAGAGCATCACCGCTCACACATATATATTGTAGCTAGCTAGTCCATTTCTATTGCATATAACAGTCACGAGGCCTGTGAATCGAGAAGGTCACCTCATCTTAAATACATAGAGCAAACACTGCCTTCATTACCACCTCCGTGGTGACTAAAACAGTAGTGGCTACACACTTTGAATAAAGTTGACAAGGACACACTTCATCTATAAAAAGCATACCATAAAAACCAAAATAAAAATTTACAAACTAAAAACAAAACAAAAAAAAACTACAAGTATTTCCAAGCGATCTTCCATAAGCTTCATATAAGCACTTAAATCCTTAAAATCCCTATATACAAATTTATTTTTTGCAGCTAAATACATGGTAACAGCACCACTCTGGCTAGGAAACAAATGAAGATGTAAACAGCCCCAATGATAAAGTCCAGTGGGCGACTGATAAGACCACAAACAACAGTTTTTCATACAAAAGAGCTTGTAACACAGACTTCAGTAGTTATCACACTCTGTGTTTTAGTAGTAAAACCTAAAGATCATGATGAATTTAATGATCTTTCCAAAAAAAGACAATCACTGTTTTACTTTAAGTGTCATGTAATAAGTGGGCATAACACTGGATTTAACTCATAAAAAAAAGGATCCGTTGAAATCTAGTGGAATGGAGCTGAGTATAAATAAAACTTCCCACAACATTTATGTGGTCAGAAGTAGTACTGAGGAGATAAACAGCGACGTAAAGTTTCTGAGAGGACTCCACAGTCACGAGGACCGAGTCACATGAATGGAGTGATCCATTCTAATTGAGAGGTCCAAGCCTGTGAGCCGTCCAGTTTAAGTTAACAGGCGAGCAAAGATAACCGCTGTCATCCCTGACATGTTCCTCACCAATCTCCTCACTTATTTCACTTTCACTGCAACAAATACTGTTTCACATGTCACACCGAGGCTGCTTCAGCCTGTGACCGCTCCGCCCGACACAGTTTTTCTCTTTTTTTAAGGCATGCCGTAATACAGACACATGTAAACTGAAATTGGTCCATTGGTCTGCATGCATCCACACTAACACACACATAAACACATACACATAAAGTGGCTGGTGAGCTAACGAACCTCTGTCTGTGGTCACTACCCTTTGGTAAGGATGGATTCTCTTGTCGTGGCGTCGTACCTTAGTGGTCATGGCACCTGCTAACAGCCATTGACATTCCCAAAACAGAACACAGAAGGTTACTCATCAGAAAGACATCAGACAGTCCACCCATGGCACCAACATCAGTGAAACCAGGAATTTACAAAGTGTTCAAGGCTGAGGGTGAAAATAAGTAAAAACATCTCACTTCCAAGAGAGAGACTTCTTGTTGTTTTGTGGTCTTCTGCTCTCTAAAGAAAATATTAATCCACACTGCTAATTTCAAACTAAGCTTCACTAGTAGATTCAACATTAGCCGTAAGCCAAGTCACTCTATAGCTCTGTGATCAAAATAAGCTTTACCATATGTTAAATCGCAAACAGCAGCTCTAAAATATCTATGGGTTCACTAAAATGTGTTAAAAATTACAAAGCGGAAGCTGAATTATTTAAAAAGTTAAATAGCTGTCACACCACAACGCTAGTCTGCTATTACAAAGAGGAAATTAACAGGAATGGACACTTGACTACAGAATGACTGTCGAGGAATCTGTCATCCTAAAGTTTAATCCAACTGACAGTCTGCTCCGAGGGTCGAGCACAAACGGGCGTGTGTGTGTGGAGAGTTAAGGGTAGGGAGTCTCTGCAAGCCAGTCCATGTGTGTGCTAATAAGGGTTGCTATCGCTTAGCCTTTGGTTGGGAAAGCCATACCTGCAAAAACACAGGGAGAAGGGACTGTTAGCCCAGCAATGAGCTTCAGCATGCAAACGGGTATAATGTGGATGTATTACAAGAGCTGGATATGGTAGCCAATTTGTGCCAGCCAGACGGCTGCAGCTTAAGCTTCTTCCTTCTTTTCTTAGGTGAGAAACTGGATTTTTTTGTTACTGATTGTAACTCACAAGCCTCTTTCTTTCATGTCACCCACATCCTGTCTTATTCCCACCAAACTCCAACTGGTTTGACATTTTTGAACTGCTCTGCATTACAAAATAAACTATTGGCAATGGCAGAAAAAATGCAAAAATCTTTTAAAAAGACTAAAGAAAAGTGGGAATAAAGACTAATTGCTTATTAGCCTGCATAATGCCACCAGGGGGTGGCGGGATGGTCTGTTCTTCAGTTAGAAATTCAGTAGAAGACTGAAACACTGCGCTGGACACCCACAATAGGAAAATGGAGACCTTTTTTCCTGGAAACTCATCGTATATTATATCAACTCATCGTATATTACGAGGTGCCAGTCATGTGAATTTATTGTTTGCCAGGCCGAATATGACTAAAGTTATTTCTTTTCAACTTAATGAGCATCAGGACATCTTTGAAACGGGCTCAAGAGTGGGCGTAAAATGTTTTCGAGCACTTGAGGGAAAAAGTTTTTCCCAGGTTTGAACTGTTTCCGTTCACCTTCTTGCTTTTGCTAAATGAAATGCTGAAATTAAAATTGTGGCGCAGCCTTGTTTAGTAGGAGCACTGATGGCGATCTGCTTTCATTGGAGTCCAGTATCCAGGTCTCGTAATACATCCATTGACCATGTATGAGAGTGATGAACTGCTGATTTTTATGTACCTAAAACTCCAGTTGAGTCAATTGGGTATTCCAATATGGAGGGCGTGAGTGTGTAGGGATACTCGTAGGGTGTGTAGATGATTCCAGATTCAGGCCCTTGCTGCACCAGCGCCGGATGCGGATTGCCTCCCGGCACGAGGGTGGAGCTCTGGATTTGACGGATCAGAGGCATGATGGTAGGTGTGGTGACAGGGGCTGGGTTGCGCAAGTTGGGAGGCAGGACGGGTGTCGGGCCTGTGATGATCCGAGGCGCCTGAGGAGTCCCTAGTGGAAAGGCGGCGGTGGCTGTGTGGCAGACAAACGTACAATATTGCGAGTGTGCGCACACCCACACACAAGAACACACAATAGACAGGGAAGAAGAAGAGAGGACAAACAGTCTATTTAACAGGAGAAACAGAGGCATTGTTCTTATATACAGTGGAGTCCTGTACCGCGACCCCTCCTTTGTCACCCACCAACCCTCCTCCACATGTTAATTATGATGTCATCCTTACGCGTCTTGACATTGGCGTCTCTGTAGGTCCCATTGAGAATGGCCAGCTCCATCAGCTGCATTTTCTTCAGGTTGTCCTCCCCCTCAGCCTGCAGCAGCACGGGCGAGCAGAGCAGCACAATCAGCTTACTTTAGCGATGACTGTCATTCTCCAGCTTGTGAATGAACTTTTGTCAGAAGCCAGTCAAAAGTCAGCAAATTATACAGTATGCAGACATTTCAACTCAACAGAAATGCTTGACAAAGGGGGAAAAAATCGTGCTTTTTCTTTGACCTTTGTTAAGAAAATCTGAGACTGTGTGTGCTTGACTTGAACAGACCTTAGGCAGACACTTCCCCACACCAGACATATTCAGTGACAAACACACTAGCTTCTTAGCTCCAGTTACAGCCTGGTGAAAAGCTTGACTGATTTACATTTGGAGGCAAAGGTCAGCTGGGTTAAACTAACACATATCACTGACTTTATCCTCCACACATACAGACAAACACATGCACAAACATAGATTAACAGGTGTCTAACTGCCCATAGACAACTTCTGAGACCCTTTCATGCTCAAGGTTGGCCAAGCTGTCACTGAACGGGAAATGACAGCTGATTGCAGCAATATAAGCCACCCCCCTCCCACTGCTCTTTTCAATCTCATTCTATTGTAGCAAATAATACAGAGATGTAAAAAGGATGGAGACTTACAATGAAAGAAATATGTGCTTTTGTTCCTGTGTGTCAAACAGGGCATAATTAAGTGTGTGAGTCTGTTCCTATGTACGGTGTTTGGATGTTTTGTGTCTCGGATTTGTCAGAATGTATATGTGCGTATTTATGTCTCTCAAGGGGAAGTAGGGGGGCTGGAGAATGTGAGAAATGTTCAGAAGTGCAATCAAAATGTTCTCTTGGGTGGACAAAAAGCAAGAAAAGAAAAAAAAAACAAGGAGGAGAGGGAATACTGTAGCCGGTAGTTGGGAATGAAGTGAGTTGTGAACGAGTGAAAGGAGTGATGGAGTGGGGAGAACGAGTGAACAGACTCTCCATTCATTCCCTCAGCCTTTCAAACAACCCGGGGTTACCATGGCAATCCCTTTATGCGTGTTCCCTAATTACCCTAACCCCTTACACATACTCTCTCATACACACAGGGACACACAAAAAAGACACAAACACACACACTTCTTGGGCTGACAATTCCCTTCCCCCTTCCATGCATACCAACACAGAGAACGCGCATCCAGTCGCACACAGATTTCACACCAATACAGCAAAAATCAGGCCATGAGGCGTGATTTGGACTCATACTCACAGCGGGCACTAGAAGTTTCTTGACCTCGTTGATGGCCCGCTGGAGTTTAATCTTGGCGCGGTTGTGTGTGTCCTCCACTGTGATCAGGACATGGAGGTCCTCGTTGAGATGCTCCCAGTTGGGCTTCCCTCGGTTCATCTCCTCCTGAAAAACACACAAATGTTTTAAAGCCCAGTTTGAATGCGCCACACAAACTCGGCCCTTCAGCGCAGAGAAGGAACAGGATTTCGCTTTTCTTCTCGCTTGGCTCAGTTTTTGGATCACTCTCAAACTGCGCACAAACGCACACATAGGACTCAAGGTTGCCTAAAAGAGTTTCGGAGGCGTATCGAACTCATGAAACGACCATGTTGTTCCACAGTGGTTACACAAGATCAGTGTTGCATTTTCCTGAAGGTTCTGGACATTCTTTGTGTCATTTCTCCCCTATTCTTCCCTCCCTGAAGCACCAATCTTCACCCTATCTATTTTACTCTTCCTCTTAGCGTTAATTTGATATTAGTGCTGAAATTCCCATTCAAATAACGTGAGTTTACTATTAGTGGTAACAACTGTTACGTGGGTCCACATCAAGGGGTCTAAGTTCTGCTGAAGTTTTTTGTCCTTCACTTTAAATGCATCCACATGGATACTCATACTGTTTCAGCTCTCTGTTACAAATACTTTGAATTGCTTTAGTTGCTTTTCTCTGGTTTAGATAATTGTAACACTTATGTAATTTTCATAGGTCATCTGATAAATCAAGGACATTTTTCCTGGAAGTTTTGGGGATAACAAGCGTTAGTTTAGTAGTTTTTAGATTTTATCAATGCTTGATTTTTGCTGGCAGTGTTGATTTGACCTGTAAATTAAACAATTGAGTCCTGTCTGAACGAGGAAAATTCTGAAAGGCCATTCCATGTTCATTTAGCAGATGTGCTTTTAATAGTATTATTCCACCAGAGCAGAAGCCTAACATTTTATGGTTTGGAGTTAGATGTCTCAACAGCATATGGATGTGCTTCCATGGAAATCGTCTGTCAGAACTATGACCATTCAGAAAAGATCCTCTGGTTTTGTCATCGGGTTAAAATGGGGCTCTGTTAGCAGCTTTGAAAATGTCAACATTTCAAAGGAGTTAGTCGGACTCAGTCCGAGGCCTTGTTCATATCTGGCTTTAGCATGCGTCTCTGGTGACCGGATAACAACAGCACAGTACAGGTGGGAGTGAATGAGGTCCAACCGTGGACCACATCAGAAGTGGGTCTACGTCACATAGGACCACATTCCTTTGATGGAGTGAACACGAACGTGTCCACTGTGAGGGACCACCTAGTCAACTGAGTTTCCTCCAGGCTGTGAAAAACAACAACTAATTTGGCAGAACTCCGCTCATGGTTGGATACCCACTGCATAATTAACAAGTCGTTTTGCATAAGGCTGTTGGCCAATTGAGCTAATAAAAATAAACCACTTTAAAGAGACTGTGTTACATATCTGTTAATTATGGGTCAAGCTGTGAAGCTTAAATTAACTAGTCGGAAAGGCTCTATTAAGCAGTTATGGGTCTATTCTGGTGTGGATGTGGATGGCTGTAGCCAAACTGGACCTGTGCAGGAATACGGTCTATTTTTTTGTCTTTGCAAACTGAAGTATGTTTTTATTTGGATTCAAAGCAGGGAAGTGAGAACTGATCACAGATGGTCACTCAAGGCAGATGTGGAGTCACATTCCAAAGCCAGGTGTGAACCCATGTCCTCATAGACACATATTAATCCCAGGTTTGATCCACTTCTCTTAATCGCTAAAAGTCATATGTAGCAAAACAAATGGGAAATTACACGATGAAGCTTTTTTAAACTTTGTACAGGCCATCCAGCCAGTTTCCTGCTTGCGGTCTTTAGGCTAAGCTAATCAAAGTTGGTATAAATGAAGGGCTCATCTTCCTAATTTCAAAGCTTCAAAGACTCCTGTTTCATGTTTTCTACACTCAAAAGATAAATATGAAATTTCTAATAGCAATAGCTGTCAATGGAAGTCACAGATAAAACAGAGGATAATTCTCTTGTATCTCAGTGTGTGACTCTCTGGCAGATTGTATCCTCTGAGGCTGTTTTGCCAAGTGAGATGTATCATTTTGAATAACACCAAAAGTCAACATCTTTCCCTCTTCTCCCCCAGTTGCCTCCCACTGTGTCTCTGTTTTCCTTCCTCTCTGTCTCTGTGTGTTTCTCTGTGTGTCTCCCTCTGAGGGACGTGCAGAGTAGGGAATGTTCTGGAGAGAGATAGAGAGAGGGGCGGGGGTGGTGGCGGCGGCGGCGGTGGAATGCTGGACTTGCTCCACCTGCCGTTTGGAAAGCTTGAGCCGACTCCATCCAACAGCAGACACCAGGGGAGAGGAAGGGAGGACAGATGGACTGAACACCAGGACAGGAAAGAAACGCTCAACACGAAAGTCATTGTGAGAGAAGAGGACAAATAAACAAACATAGATAGATAGATAGATAGATAGATAGATAGATAGATAGATAGATA